TATATGTAAATAATCTGTATATGCACTTCCCTGCCAAGATTAACACGAGATTAATGCCCCTCCCATGTTGGTTAGCTAAATGCCAGCAGCCAGTTGAAGACATTTGATGCAAACAAAAACTGACGGTGATGTAAAAAAAGGTGTGATGTACCAGACTATTTTCTTTCGTGTGGATATAGCCTTAGTATGGATTAAACCAATGAGATATGACATGTTAATTAGAGTTGGTGGAAGTCAGATTGTGTTACCTTAGGACAGAGCCAGGTCTTCATGCTAAGCTAAGTGGCTGTTGGCTGTATACCTTCTCTTGTAACCCTTGGCAAGTAAGCTAGCTAAACATTTTCCCCATGCAGTTAGCTTAGCATATAGACTGGAAGCTGGGGGGAAACAGATACACTAGCCCTGTCCAAAGGTAAAAACACCCACATACACTGCATTCAGGTAGTGTCAGCAAAATAGTAAAAACAAGAAAACTTTGTGTTCCAAGATGGTTACTCTGACTGCTGATCTTGTAGCAGCAATTAGCATTTTTCAGAGCTTTGCAGCAGTTCATTAAAAAAGGGGAACCCACGTGTATCTCCCTTTAAATTAGCTGATGTAACTGATACAGGTGGCTTTGCAGCTACCAGTTTGTTGACACCTCTGTAGTTGTTTTCGTGAAGTGATATCTTAATTGCCAGACGTCCTTAAGATCTTCAACCTGGAAATGCCACGTGATTAACTGTGTATCTTGTGCGTTTAATCTTTTCAAAACCAAAGTGTAAAAAAAAAAGTTGTGGACTTGTGTGCTGACATTGCCTTGCCTAGTGCAGTGACCTCCTGACGTCTTGTCACTGTGAAGCTGACTGGCTTTTCTCCCTCTTGCCAGTCTTTCTACTAAACTAACCACCTTCAAATTCACCATGCAGACAGTGGTATCAAAACAGAGACTAAATGAAAGTGGTATCAATATTCCCATCTAACTTTCTTAGCAAGAAAGCAAATTAGCTTGTTTCCCAAAATGTCAAACTATTCCTTTAAGACTTATTTTTTCTATCCCTGCATCTCAAGCATGACAGATTTCATTGTGGCACTTTTTAAATGTACAACAGTGCCAATCATTTATTTGTCCAGTGCATCCTATGATTTGAGAATGTCTCCCTGCGTTTACATGAAGTTTTGTATGTTGAAATGCATGGAGCTTATTTTTAGGCTTGTCGCTTCTTCTTCGTCTCCTGCTCTCTCATGTTTCTTATCACCGGGTCAGCTGTGGTGCACGTGCAGCAAAATGGCCAAACCTAATAGGACACAGGCACACAGAGTTTTTTTTGTGCTTAATTTCGATGTAGCCTGACTTGAACCTTGCTGTGTCCCATTATCCAGCCGGACGAAGTATTGTACTTTGTATCAGTAAAAAATAAGATCTAGGCTTTAAGGTCAGATTTAATCATGACAGTCAGTAAAGTTCTCACCATAAAAGTGCTGCGTGTTTGTTTGAAACGCTGATGACGTGTGTCACAATTGGTGGTGGTCTGATCTCTGTCCACGCTCCTGTGTCCAGTGTCCTCTAACCTCCCTGTGCAACTCTGCTTTCACAGCTGCTCAAGTTTCCGACCATTAGGACAGCCACGTTGGGACAGTTTGCAATACATGTCCCCGAGACCCGCTGATGGGTGGGTGGTGGGTGGTGGGGGTGTGGTTGGGGGTGGGGACGAATAATAGCCAGTGTATTGATAGCAGTGATAGCCGGGGCCCTCCAAAACAGAAGGAACTGTATTCATGTGATGAGATTAGACCTAAGGCAGCCAAGGATGGTGCTTCATTTGCTGTTTGGACTCAAGATATCTGATTAGGTTTAGAGCCTCTGATTGAATTGCAGTTCAGATACCATTTTATTTACAATGAATAGTCTGTGTTGTGTGATGAAAAGGTCAAAGTGAGATTATGTAGTGTGTCTTGATATGCGATACTACTCTCACTTTTCTCTGCATTGTTTTAAAACAAGAACCAGAGTTGTGGTTTGTAAACTATGTTCTTTGTTCTGTGCACTATACATAAGCTACTCTTGACCTGCCTGTTATGTAATAGGCTCATATGGAGCACCACCCCCGCCTCTCCTCTACACACCAGATTGCCTGAGCTTAGACTCCGGCTGCCATGGAAACGGGGCTCAAGGCGTTATGTTTTTCTTCACGAGCCTTCCCATTTGGTCCAGTTTATCAGCCCAGGTTATCCTATCTGAAAAATCAACATTTATCCTTGCACTGTTGCTTAGGTGACGCATTCGCACACTTTCACACCCCTCTCTACAAACAGAACAATGGGATCAAGTAACAGGATAAAACGGGGGGGACGACTTGTAATGCAGTAGGAACATTTGAATGGGTTGTGCAACGGTAAAATATGCAGTACAGTATGTGCACACGTATACAAGGCATTTCGATTGGGCTCAATCTGCAACCAATTGCACATCTAGGATTTTGTCTGATATGTCCCTTTGCAAAAGGCATTTATGTGTACAGTAAGATTTCCTGCGCTCAGTTTGTGAATGTAATTTAAGGAGGCCAACGCAACGTGATTTGGACTTCTTAGTTTGGCAGTGGACTCCGAGCCAAATTGAATTTGGTGTGTTCTCAGACTGATGTCAAACACATCGCTGCAAGCAAATACCACTATAGCACTACAACTGCAGTTTATTTAATCGCATCCGTGCTAAATCAAGAAGAAAAAAAAATACAGAGCATTTACCAGAACTGTTATCTAGTGCCTCTGTGGAAATGAACTAAAATAAGCTCAGCTGTAGTTTTATTTTGATTGTAAACACCACATCTTATCTCCAAATTTGATTTAATTCAGTACAAACTGTCGTCATCACTTCGACAATGATATTAGTTGAAACTGATCATGACAAAGTAAACCTTTCTAAACATCTCACCTCAATTCAACTTCAATGAAGGCTGAGTTTAACTCAAGCTGAATGCCCTTATAAGGAAAACCGTCCCCGACCCTCTGGTGTGCTGTCATAATTCACACAAACACACCTTCATCCTTGCTGAATGAAGCGATTAGGTAACTTGCTTTAGATCTACAGCACCCTTTATATCCCACGTGTTCTCCTCATGAACCTTTACACCAGGTTTAATAGAGCGGAGCACGGTCAGGTCTTGGTCATGGTATAATTTTGTACAGATCAGCGAGTAAAGCATGGCATGAAACTAACACTGGGGTCACCCGAGCAGACAATGGTTTTCCCTTAAGCACTAAATACTTTTCAGACTTAGCTTTTCTTCGTCCACTCATAAAGATCTGTACATGACTGACACATGGCCGCCCAACGAACATGACCACAGCTTTTTTCCTTCACCGGCCACCTGTGAGAAAACTAAATCTAGTCTTTGTGACGTCTCACTGAAGGTTACAACTGTACAAGAGACAGAGCGTGAGATGCAACTTTTACTGGAGTACTTCTTTAGGTCACCCTGTCACCCTGCTGACACCAGTGATCCCAGTTCATGGCCTTTAGACTAAAATAAAAACTGAAACACAAATCATTTCATTCAGTTCTTTCATGTTAAATTTAGGATAAATTCCTAAATGGGAAGGTTAAGTCATTCGAAGATAAACTTACTTAAGTTGCACATTATCATAGAGTTATTTAATAGCAGTAACTTGAAAACAATGTCTGCTTTTATTTCTGTCAGTGATTTTATATTTTCATTTTAATGCATAGTGGACAACAAGAACGCAGCCTTTCGGACAATTAAAGTTCCAACAAACTCAGGCCTGATTTAAATCTCTGCAAATTCATTTTCACGTCGGAGTGAAACGAATGGATAACAGTGCCTGAACAACATGATGAGCAGTAATGAAAATTAGAACTTGAAATAATTTGTGGTAACCCTGTAGGAGGCGGGTAGAGGAAACAATGACCTGAGTTCTGCACAATAGAACAAGTTACGAAAACATGTTGCAAGCAAAACAAGCAGAGAAAAGATAAATATCCATTTAAGACTGTTCTCGGCACCAAAAAGTTTGAAACTAAGTTGGTTTTTTAAAACCCAAAACAAACATGTTTAGCCTGAATGTGAGGAATGAGTCGCCCTCACCAGCTCCATACATACTGTACATACTGTACATTCACTGCATCATCTAACCCAAACCCTAACCTGCCTTCACATCCAGTTTTTTTGCAGTGCTTTCGAAATGAAAGGAACCGTACAACATGGTATGAATTAAGTGAAACTAGAGATAGTCACAACACTGAACCAGATAGTTTGACTGCAATAAAAACAACATGGTGAGGAGCACTGTAGGAGAGCACAGCATGTGCAATTTAATGTGAAAAGTTAAAAAAAAAAAAAAAAAATCTGCCTTTTAATAATCAGTTAAAGCTGTTCTTCTATAAATGTGACAATTTCAGCTCTAATTACTAAATTGTGATAGTCACCTAAGCACCTAATGCAATACAGTGAGTGTTACAGCATATGATACAACTAACTTCTCAAGTCTTCAGACAGATTTTGGTTGGAACTCCCCATCCTCCCTTTACTTTCCTGACCTACTTTAAGAGCTAGTGCATAGGTTATCCAGGCTTGTGTCAAAACAACATACCAGACAGACACACTATTTTTGGACTGAAACATGCCGTAGAAGAACAAGGCTCCCGAAGAGTCAGCAAAAGTCTGTGCGCTCACGTGCAAGTTGTCAGCACCTGGGCAGTGAATGATAAATCTGTTTGCAGGCCCTTTGACCGGTTTGACGTCATGTTGATTTTCTAATGACGACACTCTGGTCTGCTCAGCTGTCTGAATAAGTAGAAGGATGTGGATTTCACTTGTCTTAATTAAGCACCATTTGTATAGTATTACAGTCGCATTTTTCCCTTAACGCCGGTCACATTTCGGAGATTCAGATCAGCTGACAGTATGGATGTGACACAACCGGTTTCTGTCAGAATATAACATACACCAGGAAACGTTTGGATTAAACCGACAAACTCAGATGTAAAAATGTTAGCTGTTTATTAAAGAGTTCTTGCAAGTCACATTTACAAGTGAAAAAAAAACAAAAAAACAAGACATGCATTAATTAAAAAAAAAAAACGACAAAAAAAACCCAAAAACATAGAAATGTAGATTGGCTTACACAATGACCTTAACTATCTATACATGACAGAGGCCAAGGACTACTAACAACATTCAGATGCCTTTGGGATCGTTTGTGTCAGAGGTACAAGATCTACAGCAATCTCCTGCTGCACTTGGACAGTTTATTAGTACAAGTTAAAATCATTACAATAATGCACTTCTATACAAATTATCAGCTACCGTGACAGAACGCCTTGCTGACAGAAAGGCAGTGTTTATGTTATCAAAGAACTTCCGCATACAACTGAATCCACAGAGAATGCAGGAACACCTCATTGTTTCATCCGTCAAGTAAAAAAAAAAAATAATAAAAAAAAAAAATTTAAATCCTGAACTTCTGAACTAGACACAAGGCTAAATACAGTACTGGAAATGACTGTTTGTTTCGCATTGTTCATTTGCTGTAATCTGTGGGCTCTTCTCCCTCTTCTTTCAGTAAACACGTGCGCACCAGAGACTCCGTGACGATGTAAGGGTCGCAGTTGGCGGACGGACGGCGGTCCTCGAAGTAGCCCTTCTTGTCCTGCCCCACAGAGCGAGGGATGCGGATGCTGGCGCCCCGATTGGCCACGCCGGCTGAGAACTCCTCGATGTTTGAGGTTTCGTGATGACCAGTGAGGCGTCTGGCGTTGTCCAGCCCGCCTTTGGGATCGTAGGCCCCGATGTGATACCTGTGTCTCTTTGACAGCCTTTCGATCGCCTCTTCGATGACCCTGCGAGGAGCAGATGGGCTTAGGATCACGCTCAAAAAAAAAAAAAAAAATCAAGAAATTCAAAATTTTTAATGCACTGATACAGTTAAAGGTCACCCTTACTTCAGTCCACCATCCTCTCGCATTTCCTTCGTGCTGAAGTTGGTGTGGCAGCCGGCGCCGTTCCAGTTCCCTGTGATAGGCTTGGGGTCAAAAGACACCACCACGCCGAAATCCTCACACACCCTGTGAAGGATGAAGCGGGCAACCCACAGATGGTCCCCCATGTTGATACCTTCACACGGCCCGACCTGGAACTCCCACTGACACACAACACAGGCGGTATCATTAACTGATTAATAATGGTTATTACTTTATTTGACAACTGAAATAAAAAGCATTTTGCCGGACAGTACCTGAGCTGGCATGACTTCAGCATTGGTTCCACAGATCTGAACTCCAGCATACAGGCAGGCTCTGTAGTGCGCCTCCACTATGTCTCGTCCGTATGCCTTATCTGCTCCCACTCCACAGTAATACGGCCCTAATCAAGCAAGGAAACCAAATATTACCACCCCGCTGGCCGTTACTGTTTCTCACGTATTATATGTCAGTAAACAATGAGACAAGCCAGAAAAACCCGACACTCACCTTGTGGACCTGGGAAGCCGTTGGAGGGCCAGCCAAAGGGATGTCCATCTGTGCCCAGGAGAGTGTACTCCTGCTCCATACCGAACCATGGGTGGTTATTCTCCACCATCCTCATGACCTGTTTGCAGGTGTGACGCAGGTTGGTTTCTGTTGGAACGGGAATCAGAAGTTAGCTTCCATACAGTACGAGACAGCTTTAACTGCAACGACGCTCGGGTTTCTTCTTCTTCTGCTCACCTGCTGGCTTACGGTTGTACTTGAGCACTTCACAGAGCACCAGCTTGTTGGGGTCCTTCCTGAACGGGTCCCTGAACATAGCTGAAGGGACCAGGAACATGTCGCTGTTGGAGCCCTCCGATTGGTAGGTGCTGGAGCCGTCAAAGTTCCACTCAGGAAGATCTGACACAGGAAAACAACCGATATCAATGATCTATTTCAAAAGCTTAAAACTGTATTTAATCGTTGTTTTCCTGAACGCTGTTATTGACCATAGCGGAGCCAGATCTTACCCTCAATCGTCTTCGGTTCAGAATCCAAAGTTCTGGTCTTGCAGCGTAGTCCCTCTCCAGAGCCATCTATCCAAATGTACATGGCTTGGACCTTGTCCCCCTGAGGGAGGTCCATGTACTGCTGCTTTACAGCTTTGTTCAGTTTTGAACTTGCTGAGGTGGCCATTTTCTTGACCCCAAGACCTACAGAGTGAAGAAGGGCACACTAAGCATCACACAGTAGAGCCACTCTATCCGGATCCACATGCTAAAATTATATACCCCCCCCCCCCAAAAAAAAATCCAATCACATGAAGCACAGAACAAAGAGGTTAAGCTGAATGTTACTGACAAGGGAAATCTCCAAGAGATACTACTTTATGACAGACAAAAACAACAACAGCAACAACATCATCAAGGATTCAGACAACAACCTGCTCCTCTATTCCTCTAATTCAAATGTTTAATAAAGGCTCATACAAGGCAAGTGAAGTGAAAACAACTTTTAACACCCGGTGACGTTAACTATCACGTAAATCCGAGGAATGTAAACATGTAAACACTGAAACCACAGGTTCAAACAAGAGAAAGTTTCAGCAGCACACGAACAGAAAACAAACCCAGCAGCAGACGTCCAAACGCTCCTACCTTATGTTAAGTGTAGAAAAAAATTAAAAGCTGAAAAGCGTCTCCAGATAAGTGGTCGCTGTGAAGGTGTCTATTGTTGTTCATTCCTACTTGCTTCACTGCTTCCACGTTGGATTTATAGCGCTGCAGAGCATCCCCGCCGCTTCTGATTGGCCAAAAGAAAACGTGATCGGTCCGTGATGAGGACATGTGGGAGTCACTGGCTTCACTGTTGGTGAATAACAAAAGGGGGGGAAACACCCCCATTGTAAAAAAAAAAGAAAAAAGCTTCCACTTTTTCACCATACTTTAATTAACATCTGTGAAGCCAGAAAAACAAAAACAATAACAAAAAACAAAACAAAACACACACCCAGAGAAGCGAAAGAGAGTAAAGCACGATTTAAAAAGTGGCACACGGTGAGAGAAAGACACACATTCAGACTGGTGGTGAGCGCAGAGTGTATGGGAGTGATAAACAAGTTGTGCGCCCCCTAGTGACACTGAGTCACACTGAACACGATTCTCATAAACAAGAACAATTTGTTCTCAGAGGTTCAAATGTTCAGTGGACAACCAGACCCAGAATTCAAACAACCGTGGACCACTGCTTCACCAACAACACGGGCTACTGAGAATTATCTTTTCACGCCACTTTACACTTTTACAAGATTTTTTTTTACGTACAAAACAAGAAGAGCTTATAAAATGTTCTGTTTTCTCATGAATGAGTGTGCACAAGTTGATTAATCAATTAGTCGTAACATTAAAAGGACTTTTTATTCATTGTTTAATTAACTTTTCATACAAACGTTTCACGGGTTCTAGCTTCCACACGTGAGGATTTTGCACCTTATTCTTGTCACAGAGGTGATGTGATGGCCATTTTTCACTGTTATAATTCAAACCAAACAATTTATTGATTAATTAAGAAAACAATCAGCAGATTAATCCATAAGAATAATAATCAGTTGCACCTACATATAAAATCGTCAAAAAATAACTTCACCTCAACCTACAAGATTAAAATGCTGCGTAGCCTGAGTGATAATAATCTAATGATAAATATATATAATATTATCACAATCACAGTGTGTTATTAATACTTTTACTTGAGTGATGGATCTGAATACTTCCTTCACCACTGCCAATAATAATATGTCTTATCCACCTACTAATGCACAGGCATGTTGTTTCACGTCAGCATATTACATAATGTGCTACTGTACTATACCACATGCTAACAGCCTTGTGGACATTGGGGTTATGCTGTCAGTATTTACAGGGTTGTTGCAATGGGAAACTTAAAGGATGGTGTTGTCTGTGGCCTTAAATCACCATGTGATTTGTTTTTGTTAAAACAGGTTTGCTTGATAGAATAAAACAAACAGTGAGTATTATGTTGTAGCATTCACTTTGTTTCCAGGTGTCTGCTCTCTTTGTGTCAGCACACACACACGTTTCTGGTAAAACGTTATAAGCTCTTGAGTCAGGTGTGCATTTAAAGGATCAAACAATATAAAAGTTAAACGGCAAAAATAATTTCTTATCCAGCAAAGATCACTTTATTCATTTTATTAGTTAATTGTGTTCATCTTTTGTAGAGAGATACAAATGGGTTAGAAAATGAAGAAGAATATATAAATAAATACAACAAATGCAGATGCAGATTGAGTATGAAAATGATGTGAATCATATGGCATGACTCTCACAGTCAGCAGATCTCAGTGCAGTTTAACACTATGGGAGTTTGTTGTATGTTGCAAGGATACTATACAAAGGAACACTGAAGCTGGTCTGGGGGCGTATCAAGCTATGCTACCATGTATAGACACATATGCTATCATCATCTTCATTACTGACTGTACTTGGTGTATATGCCGTGTATATGATATATTTACCACAATGTGTCAGACTCAGGCATGTAGTTCATTAGTGAACTTGTCATTGCATCTGGCAGTTGTCCAAACAAGACAGAAAAATCTTGGCGGACACCAAGGTTTTTTTTCTTTTTTTTTTTACTTTACTCAGCAAACAACACTGGCTCGTTGAAAACAAGTCTGTGCATTTCAAGATGGTTCAACAACTTTGAGAACAGGTAACAGGAAGAGTCATTGTTCATAGACACAAGTAGGTCATTGAAGGCTTAATTAGAGATCATGAGAAGGCAGTGTATGATATTTCAGATATGTTTTCACTTGTCTCCCTTCACAGCAGCAATGTATCAATCCATGCTTGAGGACACTTAAGCAAGACAGGTCTAACGTTTGAACCCTGCTGCTCAGAGTTTTATGTTGTGTTGGAATTAGAAAGGTGATTTGGTTGGTGGCGGTTATCTGTCAGAGAATGATGAGGTTGATGCGGTTGCACGCAAAGGAAAGACAACTGTGGAGGCAAAGAGAGGCCATTATAATTAGAATGGTGTAATACTGAATACTTACTGTTGAAATGTAAACACCACTGAATTTATATGATTTAAAAACCATATATTTTTCTTTTCATTTCTGAAACATAATTTCGGTTTAGCCCACTTAATTCAACTTATATTTTTTCAAATCAAAAAATTCAAATGAAACAGTTGCTCAAACTGGACCAGTGAAAATCAGACAAACATTAAAATCCATCAATTCCTGAATGTTCTCTTCTGCTCATAACGTGATCCAAGAAAAAAAAAAAAATCTGAACAAAAGAAAAAAAGAAAGAAAAATTAAGATCTCTGGAAACAATCATCTGGAAACCAAAAGAAAAAGAAAGTTGTTTTTTTTTTTTTAAATTGCAAAACTTAAAGATGAATGAAAATTAAAAAAAGAGAAACAGAATTTTCTGATTGAAATACTCTCCAAGTGCTACTCAATACATTAGTGGTGCAAAAAATTCAACAAAGAAATTCTAAAGTACTGCTGTGAGACAAAAGAGTGACTTTATTTATGAAGTAATGCTACAGAAAACTTAACATGAAGGAAGCATTATTATAGTACTCCCTCAGACGGGGTTGCCAAAGCTCAAAATAGCAGAAGAAATTCGCACTTTTTCTTGCCAATAGCTGATAGGTTAATATGTTGGCAGACGGAGAGGTGAATGAAACAGGTTTTTTCCACTTAGATTATGGAAAACTCTGCAGTGCTTTATAATTATTTGGCTCTTTATGAGAATGACAACTGGTATATGAAGCATGGGGGAAGTGTAACTGTGTGCTCAGCATAACACAGACCAATAATTTTTGAACATAATATTTTTTAATGACAAACAGGCATCTGTTGTTTTTTAATTCTGGAAGGACTCTGAAACAGAATAAGGCCATGGCACTTTGTGAAATCAGGGTGAGCTCACATACAGAGAAGCGGATCTAGGCTGGCAGAAGAGGAATGAGCCCCCTGGTAGTGCCGTTAATTTCCAAAGAAACCAAGATTTGTTCAATGGAAACCAGCCCAGAGTGCAGATGTCCTGAGACTGAGACAGCTAGTGTGGGTTACAGTCAGAAGAGAGGACAGACCTGAACAAAGGAACAATACAAGCAAGTAAACAAGCTTCACTCTGTCTCTGTGAAACTGAAACCGTAGTGAAATGAAACCTCCAGAACAAGTGATTCAAGCACACCTGTGTGAAATCCCCTCTCTGTTCCTCCCTGTCAGTCCACCATCACGACATGCAGACTGACAGCCTGCGTGTGCGTGTCCTTTGCTTTTTTGGCCTGACTGCAGCTGCTGACCCTTTGGCAGGATCCCCAGGGCGTTTCTCTGAAGGGGTCCATGTTTGTACATTTCATACAACGCAAGCTATATAATGCAGTGTTCTGGGGCCTACTGAAGTCTTTCTACAGGCCATAGCGTGACCATCACTCAGCTGTTATTTCCTCATTGCCACATGCTCCATTACATAGTCATCTAAAACTATTTAAAAAAACCTTTCAATCTTCTTACACGACAAAACAGCTGGACAATGTTCTCTGCACTTTGTGTTTGTTGTCATGAGCGACATGAGATCTGTGGTGAGACTGTGACATCTAGTGGCTAAAAGGCAGAAGAGCAGGAACTGTCTCCTTGTCTGTCGAGCCGTTTGCAGTCACTGTGTTTCTGTGGTGCATTCCCATCACACAACCTTACAGATAATCTGACTGTTACATTATTCCAACAGGGAGCTGACGTGTCCGGGATACCGATCCGGCAGTTACCCACGCAACTTCCTAACTGTCATAATTCATTTAAATTGTTCAGGGAGCAGGCGTTTGAGGTTGAGGAGGGATTACATGAAAACAAACAAAGGAATGTCCAAAGGGCAGCCAGAGTAAAATCCCTCGAAGCCCTTTATTAGATCTTTATCTGCTGTAAACATGTAAGAAAAAAATTCAAGGTCCAGGAAAACTCACAGAGATTGAGATCTTCAGTGGTGAAGAATTGTCCCTCTAATATTCATTGTAAACAACATTTTCTTGTCAGTACTTGTAATTAGAAATTAGTTTGTTCTTATGTAGACATGTAACATATTGAGCATTCACTGTCCATTTTCTCCTATGCACATGGGTCGGCGATTTTAGTCATCTGACATCTGGATCTTAAGCTATCAGAGCTAGGCGGGCAAATGTTAGACAGCTCAGCTCCCTGGAGAAGTCCTGTCCTGTGGCCAATGATTTTTAAAATGTAACTGCTTTATTCATTTACTAGTTTTAATTCCCTGATGCGATTGTTACGGAGAGGAGGGCACCTCTGCAGATAATTCGGCTGCTGGAAACAAGATGTCTCCTAATGCATGCATCAGTGTATATGTGCACAGGAGGCTCCAAGTTCCCACATCACATTTGTGTAAGATGCACATTGGACCACAACTAGCTACCTAACTTTACTGCAGTGTCACAAAATCCTGCTCAAATGTTAAAGTGAGATTTAAGGTGAGAACAGAGAAACTTGAACATTAAAGCAATTCTAGTATCAAACTCTGCACAGACCGTACATCTTCCTGCACAATGAAGCTCAAACATACAAATGACAATCAGTGTGGAAGGGGACTCTGTGTGTATTGCTGATTTTAGCTGCTCTCAATTCAAATTCAGTCACTCCGTGCGACTGAATAAGGTCTCTTTCTTTACCTGATGCACTCACTTTTAACCA